CTGGTTAGTTCAGAGGACTCGGACTCAGGCGATAGGTTACAAAGGAAAATCGGAACAACTCACCAGTATTGGCCGACATAGGATAAATCATTTGAGATAATAGGCCAGACGATGGTCTTCGCCGTGCTCTTCTGGCCATGTGAGATGAGCCAGTTGGAATAAGTTATGAGCGCAATGGCGCGGAGCGCAGGCCCGTCCCTTTGTGGTCTGCCCCAAGCTCCGTTATACCTATCAACACGCGTCAGTTTAGCTTCTTGTAATTTGATTTCTCTTTCAAAGGTACAACTGTTTTCACGACCTGATAGAGTCTTGCAGGCATGGGATGCGTCTTTCGTACCGGGTGAGATCAATATTGTACTTGGGTTCTCCGAGGCCGAGGCCATTGGGAAGAAACGTGCCCGAAGGATTGGTGACAGTTTGCAGTATAGCTTGTGAGTGAATAAAGTTCTCAATCGTCTCCAGGAGTTCTTTGTCGCCTAGCAAAAACTCATCGACTATCATCTTCAGAGTGAGCGAGGCGTCACGGACCCAAGTGTAGAGATCTTGAATATGTTAGATACGACAATTAGTCTGGACCCCGTTTTTTTCTTCATTGACTTACAGTCCGGGTCCTCAGTTGATGGAGACGCAATGACGACGCCTGAAGAAGCACCAGACGCCTTAGAGCCATCAGGACCGATATTGTTCAGCACACCTTGAAGTGATACGGCACGCTGCTTCGTAACGAAGTCATCGAGGCTATCAGCAGTAGCTACTCTGCAAGCAGCGAGCATTGCCAACCCTAGGGCGGACTTGATCGAGAAAGGACTCATCTTTTGAAAAGCGACAGACACGGAAGCAGTAGAGATAGAGGACCAACTCCAGTCGACACGCCTGTTGTGGCTTGCTTGCTATTATATCAACAAGATCCTATGTATGGAAACCTGATTCACGCACTGGTTACACTTTTTTGGATTGCCTCATGCGACATGGTTTAACTTGTTCAACAGCACTTGGCCACCGTTACTGCAGAGCTAGCGTGGGATCTTGTTCGTTGTCGAAGCGTTAGTAGGCATCGCTCGGCCATATTTCGAGAGGTTAGTCGAATTTCGGACCGAATACAGGGGTGATTTGCCATGATGGAGAGATCAACCGGGGTCATCGTGGGGTTCTCAATTGACGATAGCCATGATAGCATTATTTCGTAGAGTCCCTCCCGAGCCTCCTACTAATCCTATCATAAACCGGGGCAGCACAGAGAGTTTGCGGGGAAGCTACCCCATACCCCCCATCCATAGCACGCCATAGCATCGGGCCATAGGGCCGTTTATGGTTCGAGGCGAACTGAGTTGCGATTGGGCAGGCAGACCGACTGTGCTGTAGCTGAGAGATACCTCTTGCGAATGGAATGCTGTGCCTCGGGTCGTGGTTCGATGCTGATCGAAAACGTCCCGAACCGCTCAGTTGTTACTTTCATCAAGGAAAGGGTCTCGACCTAGCCACTTGGTGGATTCAAGTGGTTAGCAGTAGGATGTCGAGGATGTCTAGTTGGGGCCACGAACCAGATGGAAGAATGCTGCAGGTTCATACATGTATGTCGCCTGCGATCCAGTGTTAATCGCAGAATAATACGGAGCATGCAGCAAAGCATCATCTCCCTACACGATTGGGACACTGCAGTGTTTCTAGATTGTCAAGCAGGCGACGTAAAGTCCAGTAATCAAGTTCCCATGAATACCTCTCAATGGACACCCCGTGTTATCAACTGGTGCCTAGAGCCCTACTATGAGATGTCTCGACAAGACAAAGCGGTCAATTGACAATTTACAGAGTTTAGGACTTCCCAGTCCCGTCTGTACCTAATGGATCATTGAGTTCCACGCGGTCGAGGCAGAAGAACTTGAAGGACGATATCAGATATTGCGGAGAAATGAAGAAAAACTTGGGGTACAGTGCAGAGCTCGAACTGCATGCAATCCAGGCTCCTGAGGTTACTCGGCTGACTTCAGGGCCATTGGCAGCAAGGGATTGTCTTAGGTAAGGTATGCGGGGAAGTGCCAGGGCGCGTCAACTGGAGGCCATCTCCAAATTCCTTCACCTCAACTTTCAAGGCTCACGCAAGGGGCTCGAAAACGGCGCTAAATGTGTGCGGAGATACCCGTGAAGAGCTGACGGGAGGCACCCGACGACGGAGCTATGGCCAAGCACTGCGGATTGTTCGGAGCGCCAAAAAGGAGCTGAAATAGATCGACATGTTATTCTTTACACGATCTTCAAGTAGATATTGTACTCCGGGTACGATATAGCCCCTCTCAGAATGGCATACAAACACGCTAGATACTGGCTATCGCTCTTCATCTTTGCAGCGTTTGTGCTTGCTTCGGAGGTCAAGAAGAATGCCGCAGCGACACATGCCTTGACCCTCGATTCCATACACGAACAACTCCAAGTAAGCAACTAGACACTTTCTCTCGACGGCACTCCGTTTACTAAGATTCCAACCAAGACATGTAGCGTGGTACAAGAACTCAATGCCGTCAAGGCCGCCAGCGCCTCTGACACCTCCACCTTGGCCTCAAGAATCTTCGCAGTTCTCTTCCCCGGCAGCCCTGCCGTCAATGCCCTACTCGCGACTCTCTACATCTCCGGACCCCCGAATTTCTTGCTCGCACTATGCCCGACCAACATCGATCCTGCATCGCTGTCCGTTATGGTTGCCTTTGCGGTAGGTGGTTTGATGGGAGATACTCTCTTCCATTTGCTGCCTGAAATATTCCTTGGGGAGGATGAGCCGGCTGGCGTGCGATTCGTCCTTGTCGAGCCGAACCGTAACCTGGTGCTCGGGCTCGCTATCATGGTTGGATTCATGACTTTCGTCGCAATGGACAAGGGGCTGCGAATCGCCACCGGTGGTGAAGGACATACCCATAATCATGAAAGCCATGACCACCAGAAATATTCATCTGCGACTTCAACCTCGGTAGAGCTTGATACTCAGGAGGCGAAGAATCGCAAGAAGGGAAGCAATAAGTCTGAGGCCGTTGAGAAGACGGAACCTGTGACGAAAGAGGTGAACCCCAGCGTGAAGCTGGGTGGCTATCTAAATTTGATGTAGGCCTGTAGTTTTCCCTCGCTACCGCGCACTTGCTGACATGACCCAGCGCCGATTTCACACACAACATCACAGATGGGTTGGCGATGGCGGCCTCGTTTTACGCTTCCCCTGCCATTGGCGCTACTACGACGGTAGCTGTGTTCTTCCACGAGATACCGCACGAGGTTGGCGACTTTGCGCTGCTTGTCCAGTCCGGCTTCTCCAAGAGACAAGCGATGGGAGCGCAGTTCGTGACGGCTATAGGAGCTCTCTTGGGCACATTGATCGGAATCGCTGTCCAAGAATTTGGAGGCAATAGCAGTTCCGAAGGAAGTATCGGATTGGCAGGGGGTATCTGGGGTACTAGCTTAACGCCTGGTGACTTACTTCTCCCGTTCACCGCCGGCACATTTCTCTATGTTGGCACTGTCGCCGTTATACCCGAGTTATTAGAGACAGGCCCAGATAAGGCACTGGAGGTGAGGAGAATGGTAACACAGTTCGCGGCTGTTGCATTGGGTGCTGGAATCATGTTGTACATTAGCTGGAGCTGACGAAGCATGGCTAGCCTAGGTAGGATCAAGGCCGCTGATCTGTCTATGTGGATAGTTATAATCCGGTGCATAAAGGGTGGCATAGAATGAGTTCAGGCGCAATGATCTTTGAAAAAGGGACAGCGGGAGTTAGAATAGATGGTATGTCCAGCTAGAGTAACGTGCCCGATGAATAGATAAATTCTCATTCAAGATCATAGCAATCAACCGGCTTATCTATCCACGAGAATAGAGCTAATATGCCTATACATTCAACAAAACAATGACTACTCCAACAATGAATTCATTGTGTCGTCTTCCGGTGCTTCTCGAGGGTGTCGGTCGGATCACAATTTCTACATAAGGCAACTTATACGACCTATTCTACGGTGCTCCAAGGTACCAGCCGAACAGGGAGGTAGGTACGATCCCAGGCGACTTACCTTGTAACATTCAATGTCGAGTTTCCAGCAGCTAATGGATTCAGAACGCAGGTGCAGCATGTTTATTAATTGGTTAAGCAGGGCAGTTATTGAACAACTGGCCATCTGGCTTGACTGTTTGAGTCGCTTTCGTAACTTAGACATAGGGGGTTCGAATCCGCTATTGTGGTTATGTCTTTATAACAACTGTCGTGATGAGCTCGCGTACTATTACGTAGCGGCAGGCTTCTACTCTAAAGGGGCTGAAAGACATGATTACATCTTGCATGTTTTATTCTTTCTAGGGTCTCGTTCTTTCGGGAGTCACGATACTGAATAATCTGTGTTACGCAGAAGGCACCACCCGAAAATCATAATAGGTACCGGCATTACTGGTAAGACGGGATTCTGCATAGCATTATATTTAATTTGCTGGGTTCGACAAAGTCGTTCACCGTGTTCAAGCCTCTACATTGACCATACCATCATAATGGCAGTATAGCTCAACTCAAGAATTATTCATCGTCTTACAAAGATCGAATTTTTAGTACCAACGAGAGACGCGCATGTGAGTTATTCCAATTCTATATATTCGCAATGCCGGTGTCGTTTGTTCATGATCTAGACTGCTTGACTGATTGTCGTGCAAATCAAGTCTTACATGGCGAAACGTTACTTTCGATGATGGATAAACTAGAGAAATGAGCAAAAAATGTGGTTACTTGGTTTCGAAGCGATTACGTGTCAAATAATATTCCATCCTGTATTAATGTGAGTAGACAGCGAATGGTGTTGCTCGTGAAATGATCTGGAGTTTAGTCGCTTAGCCAACATTTGTTATTGTAACATCAACGCTGAGGACCTCCGTCGTAGACGGATATGGTCTCAAATCCTTCGTAGATTAGTGGTGCGAAGCGTATGCACGGCGTCTGACCGGTATACATAATTGTGCAAAAAGAAGGAAAATAGGCTTGCCCCCACTCCGGATCGAACGAAGGACCGTATCATAACTTGCGTGTTTACAAGTGATAAACTCTACCACTGAGCCATAGGGGCGCGCTGATCTTAGCCATCCGCATAACCAGCATTTACAATGTGGAGGATTGTTTGTCAGAAAAACCACCAGATGTCATTTCAAAGGCGTTGTAAAGATTATTATGTAATCCGTAGGGCGTGAGAAATGCACTATGACTCAAGCGAAGTCAGGGCATCGTTAGTGTGCGAGCAAGCCGAGAAGTCATGCTTGGCACCGGCGCTCATGTGGGACGGTGATCCCAGCGGATTGGAATTCTCCTGGCGCTTCCCCTACCAAGGGTCAGCCAAGCCAGCGGCCAAGATCTTGGCTACATGACTTTGCCTTCGGGATGTCGTTGAAAGATAGATCTGTGAAAAGGCTATTCGAACTTTATAGGAATGCTCAATACAGATTATAGCTTCTGCAACCAAGTTTGTCACTGGTAGAAAAACGCATCCCCATTCACTTTCATGGCATGCTTGAAAGTTGACACATGAATGCCCACATCTCCGTGGGTTCAATGCGCAGGATCATAAACTGTATTCTCCACATACAACTGCATTCTCCGCATTGTCGTAGCTAACGGCAGGAGACAGCGATCGCCGCCTCCAGGCTCCGATCCAACACCGGTGGAGACGAAATGCAACGGGTCTCACATTTGAACTTTGTACACTATCTGTGATAGCGTCGACGCCAATAGCTGACAAGAACGTCCACGTGTGACACACGGCAACAGTGCCGGCGGCACAACGCTCCAAAAAGCCTATACTCTTCCTGTCGTGGTCAACATAGAGGTTGTGAGGGCAAAGATGAGATGTTGAGGGGGACGAGCAGTGGCTGGGTGTATTTCGCTATGGCCCCTTTCCGCAAGAGGGCATGGCTGCGGTATGAAGATGTGAGACCACATACGGCATACAGAGTACAGTACATGCATGTTCGAATGTTCCAACCTCCTGGGGGTCTGGGACTGCGGAAACTACCTTAGTTTCGGGAAAGACGCTTTAGGAGTCGGGAGTGTACCATCTTTCCCGAACCGCACCAAGGAAATAGGCCAGAAGCCGATATGAGGTCTCGCGATGGCTCACCTGAGTCCTGACTCCTGACTGCCATCTACAGGGGGCTTGGACCATGCCGGAATGGAATGCAAGATCTCTTGAAAATGCGACTATCTTTCCATCGGCTCCACCGTCGCAATCCTCACAATCCACCTTGCAGTTCCATTTGGAAAGGGCGGCAAACGTGATTGGAGCTTCTGTGCACGCGTGTGACTCCAACTCGAATGATGGCTCTAATCTTCAAAGCACCTGGTCAAGCTCTGACGCGATATTGTGAAAGAGGCGAATGTCGCGATGTAAGGAGTAGTAGTTCGGAGTAGTGGTTACCTAAGGTAGGTAGACTAAAGCTTCCTAGTAATCTATTTCTGGCTCACATTGGCAATTCTGTGACAAAGAGAATCTGTTGGAGGTAAAGCGTTGCGAAAATTTCATAGACGATAGACTGAACTCCGTAACCGAAGAGAAGCTCGGCTGGAGAAAAAGCGGCATGCGATGACCCAGTCTGACTGTCAGCGAACCAGCGCCGAAGGACGGAGTGCTCAGTCTCTTACGTCAGTTCGCCAGCCAGGGCGGCAGAGGAGATGTTTCAGGTCGCAAACCGAGATTTATCGCACCATTTCGCGAAATTTCATGCTTGAGCTAACGTCGCCCGGAAGACTACATCAGCGTGAGTCAATTGGGAATCCACTGGCTGTGTACTCCATCGAAAGACCGGGACTGTAGAGACTGTACAGTTTGATCCAACGCACATCGCCATGTCATGTCGAGCCAAAGGCGTAGCTACTGTAGGCGAGCTAGGGAGGTTGGAGTATTACTAAATCCGAAAGCGGGCCCAAGCCCTTGACGCAAGGCGATCCAACTTACAGTATGGATGAACGCCTGCATCTATTATATAGATCCTCGGATCGCCACCACGTTTTGCTTTGATGGCTCTGTGACAACATACTGAATTTGGGTTGTATAACGAATGGACTGCATTTGTCCTCCTGTGCGAATGATATAATAAACCCGTCTATATTTCTCGCCAACCTCGCCAACCACATACATAACTTCCAAGTTATCAACCGTCACCACCAGTCACTGTTGATCAGGAGGGGGTTCGTCATCAAACGAAGCGTTGACAAGCCTAAAGCAAACATCCGTCTCACATCACCCCTCACTCTTCAGCCACCCTCCTCTGTCTCGATTCTCAATACATACCTCAGTTGCCACGGCTACACAACGCTACAAATTCTAGCTTAGATTTACGACAACATCAAGATGTCGGCAACCATGGAGCCAACACGTAGGATGAGCTCGCCCGCAAAGAGCACAATGGTTGTTCATATCGATAACCATTATCAATCCAAAATCTATTCGACGTCATCCGTAGTATCGGGACATGTCGAGGTCAACGTGCACCAAGATTTGGACTTCAATTTACTGCAGATCCTGTTATTAGGAACAAGCAGGACACGTATCGACGCTGTTTCGATTCCTCAGGCGACATCTCACACATTTCTAAAGTTAACAATGCCGATCCCGAGAGAATGCTACCCCGAGCCACGGCGATTCGAAGCCGGAAACACGTACACGATTCCGTTTCACTTCGTTATCCCTGATCAGCTCACCATCAATGCCTGCAGTCACCGTGTATCGAACGAAACCCTAAAAGAACAGCACGTGAGGCTACCACCAACGCTTGGGACCTGGGAGAAAGATGATTTCGCTCCGCTCATGTCGCGGGTCACGTACCAAATCAGGGCGAGGGCGTATAACGACGATGCCGAGAGGCAAAGTGTAAAGGTCATGGAAGGGGCCCAAGAAATCAAGGTGCTACCAGTGGTTCCCGAGGATGCACCTCTGGTCGTCACCAAGCATGATAAGCTGTACGTCGTGTCCAAGACGAAAACACTGAGGAAGTCGATTATATCGGCGAAATCGGGCAAGGTCACTGTGTCAGCAAAGCAACCAGCGCCCGTCATGCTCGACTGCGATGGCCGATCCGCTATGCTCTCATCAGGGGAACTGGACCTGGTGTTCGAACCCACGTCAAATGAATCTCAGCCGCCCAAAGTTACGGGCGTTTCGTCGAAGATATCAGCAGTGACGTACTACAGCGCAGGAGGCGTCAACCAGTATCCCAACCTCAAGGACTGGAGTCGCAGCTACGGCAGTGAGGGTCGAGGCTCTTACACGGGATCGGTCTCCCTCCCTACCGCGTCCATGGAGAAAGTCAGCTGGAAGCACCGCATCTCAGAGCAGGCGAGACGAGACTCGGGCTACTGTTCGGAGATGCTCTCAGACTCTGACCAGGCGGCTGCCGCGTCGTCCGGCCAGGGCAGACGTGCACGCCCTAATAAGGGGGCCCCGTACTACTATGGAGCCAAGATCCAGCTGCCAATCGAGCTGCCAGTGGCCAAGAGGCAGTTTGTGCCTACATTCCACTCGTGCATCACATCACGAGTGTACGTGCTGTCGATGACGGTCACGTTGTCCACATCGGCGGGATCAAGTACCAACATCACGCTTTCGGTACCGCTACAGGTCGGAGTCGCACCCCAACAGGGCAGCCGTGTCGACGCGACTGGGCTGCCCACTTTCGAGGCGGCAATGCAAGATGCGGAACTAGAGACAGACCCGTTCCTACAGCCTCGCGCTATGTCAGTGCCTAACATTGACTTCCAAAGCGAACTCCCCGGATACGCGGAGCTCAGCGGTACTCGGATAGCTGTGTGAGGTACCGTTGAGGGCGCGATTTTTAAGGAGTCTGAAACAGAGTTGCTTTGACCCCCCTGATTTTGGTTGACGATAGTTTGGGTTATTCTTCCTCTCGGCGGCAGAACTACAAGTTTGAAACCTCAAAGGCATTCATAACGTAAAATTTGGGATTTGGCGCGCTTGTTCATGACGGATGGTTCTTTAACTACGAGTGCTTATATACCCCGGACGCATTGGATGATTTATTGAGCTTTATGATTGGCAATTAGGATACGGCCGTGGACCTAGTAGGATCTTTGATGGCTACGAAATAGTAGTACTCATCGAATAGCTTTGAGCCGTACATATTTTATCACATCAGTTCATTCAGTTATTAGGCTGTTTCATCAGTCCCGGCCAATTCTCGCGTGCTATGTTGCCAGTACCTCTCAAGTGGTGTTCGATTAAGAATGCCACATGGCTGAGATGAGATTTAGGAGTCCATCAAGAGTAGACTGGCAGATCTGGTGGGCGAGTCAGTCGACAGTGGTGGTGTTCTTTTCTTAGAAAGTCGCGGCGAGCAGCGGGGCCGAGCCCGCTAATGTTGCACCGTCACAGGGCTGTGCTTGGCGATGGTCTCCGCCAGTCTGCTCCGCCTCCTGTTTCCCATGCCGACTTGCTGATCCGTGTGCGAACGAACAGAAATCCCATTCTTCTCTTCTTGCAAATCCTACCCATCGACGTGACACGAGACTACGAACCACGCTTTTACCGTAGAGAGAGGACTTTCGGACTACAGCGCCCTGGTATGATATCTGTCCCACGTACCGCTTCAGGACCTCGGACTTCCAAACCTAATTGTTCGCTGCGCCGCGCGCCGCGAACCTCGTCTGCCTCACTCCGCACGTCTTACCTCTAGGTACTTCGTCTCTGATCACACGAGTCAAGTCGGCTAGCTACGACTAACCCGTAGTCATGGCTGAGATCCAAGAGCCCGTCTTCAACTCTCTCGCCGACCGCATCGCTGCCTTAAACAGTCAGAAGAACTTCAGCTCACCTCCGCCCGCGATAGCCAAACGAGCGCCGCCTCCGCCTCCCACTAAGAAGATTCCCAATGTAGTTGTAGAGTCAGTGCAGGCCACGCCTACAATCCCATCTCGGCCACAGAGGAGAGAGCCTCCTCCCGTGCCTCCTGTCAAATCCCCAGAGCCTGCCGTGGCGACGTCTCCCGCCTTGCCTATGCGCAAGACGCCATCCATTCCGCCGCTGCCTACTCGCAAGAGCTCCTCACAAGCCACCCCGACTCT